TTAAAGAGCCATGAATATATCATCAAATAAAGACCATAGTTGCTCAATTACCTGGTAAGCTTGAATGCACAATGACATTCAATCTAAATCATTACAGCAAAGAACAGTAAAGTGATTCTGGCATTCAAATGTCTTTTAAGTTTGAATTAGCTATCTTCATGGAAGAAAACAAAGCTACAATTTATTTATGGAAATACTGCCCTTGAAAAGGCCAGGGGTGAATCCCCAAGGAATCACTTGCTCAACTAGTCCAAAAAATTGTTTTCACCCTTCTACTTTCTCACTTTGAACCACAATAGGACCAGTTCATAGGACAAAAAGGCAGTAATGAGGACTATCTCTATAGCTTGAATAGAAGAGACATAATGACTGAGTGAGCAGCAGTGGCATTATGGGAATTAGCCAGACCCCTTTGTGGATTGTGTTCCTAGTTTCAATAATTGTTCTTATGAGAGAAAGAAATGCAGTTCCTTGAACCTAAAAATGTCTAGTCTGTGTTTGTGTAGGTGATATCACCTGCCCTCCTGACATTTTGGCATTTGGATTTGCTCATGCAGCTAGATACGATTGCCAGTTGTGTGAAAAATGCATTCTGAGTAATTGCTAGGTGTGAAAACCAGCTTTAGTATTTTAAGACTGTTAAGATGGAAGTACTCAATTCTTTTACCTAAAAAATCAATATGCAAGAAGCTACCATGTAGTTATCATCTTTGATAAAATGGATAGTGGCTAAATAATAAATTTTTATTTTATAAATTTGACTTCTATATTAAAACCTCTTCCCCAAGTTTTGCAGAAGAATTTTGAAGCATGCTGTGACAGAGACAGTTCAAGTGATTTTTAATATTCCATAGAAAAATGAGGGAGTTTAGGTATAGAAAAGTTGTAGAACTGAAGCCACAATATATTCAGAAATTTTCCTACTGTGAAATTTTCCTAATAATGTGAAAATTAATAGGAATTAAGGTGAAATTTTCCTCATAATTAAATTATCCCTAATTTAGAAATATTCAGCCTTAACTTCTTTTCAGTTGAGATCGTTAGGTTTATTGATAACATCTAAAACTATTAGGCATCCAGATTAGGTTTAAGGGAGTTAACTCCACTTCTCATAATGTTTCCCTATCTATAATTACTATAGACAGAAAGAAGGACAAGGAAATAGGCTGAAAGATGTAGTCAGCTTAAGAAGCTGTTAACTGTGTAAGCAGAACCAGCATGGGTGAGGGCTGGCAGTTTCCACAGGAGGAAGGAATGTGAGAGGATCAGGCTCAAGGCAGACAGAATTCAAGGATGGAGTCAAAAGATCTTTACCCCAATGATTTGATGGGAATGGTCCCCAAAAGGAGGAGAAGATAAAAATACAATCCTCAAAGCCAAAACTCACTTCTGTTAAGTGGAAAAGACCTCTCACTTCATTGGGCAATAGAAAAAACAGTTTTTATTTCCTAAAGTTGTGTGAACAAAATTTAAAAAGTTGTTTATATTTCCCATCCCTTGGGGCTTTGTGGCTTATTCTTGTTCTTAGGAGTTCTAGCATACAATTTGAGGAAAGGATTTATTCTTCTCTTCACCCTGAGGATGATGTTCTAAGAGATATTCTCCCTTGTCCATGAATAGAGGTTTAGTTCATGGCCAGAACTCTAAGTGCCCTACCTAGACAGGCTTTGTAGCACACCACACAATAGCAGCCCTTCCTATAGTAGAATAAGAGGTTAAAAGTCATGAGGCAATTGCTAAGAAATTTAATTCCAGTATTAATGATTAACCAATTCTCCCTCCTCAAAATTACTAGCTCTTTTGAGCTCCCAAAATCAATTACTTCAAACATCCTCTACTGCAATAAGAACTTCATTAGTTTCAATTCAAAAATGTACTATAACAAAGGACATAATCTATTAAATAGCACAGATAAGTACTGGTTTATAGTCATGTCATGAAATTGCCAGCCCCTTCCCCTTGTATTCTCTTTTTCTACCATTCCAGGCTGAAGTCAGAGGCCTGGCTTCTGAACTTTGAGGTAGACTCAGGAAAGGTGTTGCTTTCATGAGGTAACACGCAGATGGAAATATTCTCATACCTTCAACTGCCTGGGCCAAATGTTTACTGTTCACTCCGAGGACATGATTACTGTTTTGCCCACTGCTACCAACTAATGGAGTTGTGAGGTCAGCTATTTGTTGGACCACAGGCAGGAGAGAAAGTTTGTATTGGCTGCTGTCACCATTTGCAACATCAGCTGATGTCAGGGACCAGTTAGAATAACCAAAAAGAGTTTAGAGGAGCAAAAAAAAAAAAAAGAAAAAAAATTGCTTTTACTGAGACATCTGCACTAAGAACCAGAACCATTTATCTTCTGGTGGATAGGTCCCCTTAGTTGCTTAGAATGAACAAATGTCTCTATGGTTTTATGGGTGAGCTACTTTTTGAAAGTGATCATGCTAAAATAATGTTGCCAAATTTGAATAATTATTGAATTTCAAGTTGGTCAATTAGCTATAGTATGAATTAGAATGTTTGACATGCTATGACCCTTCAGAAATGTTATCATCGGTAAAAATAATGCACAGGAAGTGTTATATCAAACAACCCAATTAAATATTGGGCAAAGGACCTGAGTAGCCATTTTTCCAAAGAAGACAAACAAATGGCCAACACGTATATGAAAAGGTGTTCAACATCACTAATCATCATGGAAAAAGAAATCAAAACCACAATGATATATCACCTCATACCTGTTAGAATGACTATTATTAAAAAATAAATAAATAAATAAATGGTAAGTGTTGCCAAGGATGTGGAAAAAAAAAAAAAGAACCCTTATGTACTGTTGCTGAGAATGTAAACTGGTACAGCTTTCATGAAAAACAGTATGGAGTTTCCTCAAAAAACTGAAAATAGAACTACCCCAACAATCTCTCTTTTGGGTATATACTCTAAGGAAATGAAATAAGTACCTTGAAGAGATAGCTATGCTTCCATGTTCATTGAAGCAATAGTCATAATAGCCAAGATATGGAAATGGCCTAAGGATTCATCAACAGATTAATGGGTAAATTGTTATAGATAGATGATAGACAGACAGACAGATGGAAGGAAGGAAATCCCATCATGTCCAACAATGCAGATGAACATGGAAGACATTATGCTAAGTGAAACAAGCCAGAAACAGAAAGAAAAAATTCATGATCTAATTTATATGTAGAACCTAAAAAATTTAAATACATAGAAGAAGAAAGTAGAAAGCAGGTGGAATGGATAGGGGAAATGGAGAGATGTGGGTCAAAGGGTGCAAAGTTGCAATTATGTAGGATGAATAAGTATACATATCTCATGTACAATATGAGGAGTATAGTTAAGAATACTGTATTGAATACGGGATTCTAAGAGAGTTCATTTCAGGCACTCTCTTCTCTCTCTCTCTTTCTGTCTCTCTCACACACAGATGTGTGTGCACACGAACACACACAGAATAGTAACTATATAAGAAGATATGTTTAGCCCAAGTGGTGTATACACACACACAGTGGAATATTATTCAGCCATTAAAAAGAATGAAATCTTGCCATTTGCAACAACGTGGATGGAGCTAGAGAGCATTATGCTAAGTGAAATAGTCAGAGAAAGACAAATACCATATGATCCATATGATTTCATGCATATGTGGAATTTAAGAAACAAAACAAACACAGGGGGGGGAAAAAGAGACAAACCAAGAAACAGACTCACAACTATAGAGAACAAAGTGATGGTTACCAGAGGGGGGAGGGGCAGAATGGGTTAAATTGGTGATGGGAATTAAGAGTACACTTACAGTGATGAGCACTGAGTCATGTATAGAGTTGTTGAATCACTATGTTGTACACCTGAAACTAATATAACATTGCAGGTTAACTATCCCAGAATTAAAATTTTTAAAACTAAGAATTAGAAATTCATTAAAAATTAAATACATTTTCTAGTTTAAGAAGATAATTAGCGTGACTGTACTAATTCATTCACTATGTATATGTATATCAAATATCATGTTATACATCTCAAATATATATAATTTTTATTTAAAACATTTTAAAAGGGTTATATTTCACTAGTAGCCATCACTTTGCTGCTGCTTTTCTTCTCCATTTCACTGCCCTCAAATCACAGTCCCACATTCTGAACAATGTGTAGTTCCTCTGACATAAAATATGTAGGAAGCTCCTAGTCTAGACAGCTACCACTGTAATACCAAGCTCCTTTATTGCACACAGTCCTTACCTGACTTTCTCAAAATTTATCATTAACTAGTCTTCTGGCTCATATTTCTAACCCATACTCCTATTTGCTTGCCTGTGAGCACCTAGGCTCTCTCATGAGAATTGTCTGAATTTTTCAATCTAGTCTATTTAGCTTTGCTTCTACCTCCAAAGAAACTCAAGGTTCACTCTACTTAGTAGATGGAAGAAAGAAAAACAGTAGCTTATCAAACAGCACTCTCCCATTATCTATTTCCATTAGGTATCCAGACACTTGTTACAGAACTCAAAAGAAGGATGGAAATTTTAAATAGACCTGGGTGGGAAAACATGGGCTTAGATACTGCTAATATGTTTCATCTGAACCTCAGAAGTTCAGTAAGAGATCAACAATTCTTAAGACAGCCTAGAACATTTATACCTTTATAATACAGATCAACATCTAGTCCATCAGTCAGATTATATGAGCAAATGAGAAAATGTTACTTGATTCTATTGTTACCACTTCCTCAAAGGCAACTGAATTTTAGAGTTATAAAAAAAAATCTTGCTGAAAAGCACTTGAGTTCTTTTTAAAGTCTTTGTGCTTAAAAAGAAAGAAAATCTCACTTGGGTTTAGGTCAGAAGGCTAAAGAACACTTGAGGAGAAATTAGAACCAAGTATTTTCTCTTCTCTTTTAAGCAAAATAATTGTTAAACACACAGACACACACACACACACACACACATACACAAACACTCCGTTTCTTCCATATAAAGACAAACCTGGAGATTCTTCCACGCGGCCACTCTTCTATGTAACACCCACACTCCAGGCCCAGCCTTTTCCAGTATAGTTTCCACATCTGGCAGTTCTCCTACTGTTGTCAGAACCTTCAGAAGACAAAAAGCACTACCGCCAGTTAGAAATGGCATCTGAATCTTAAATCCCAGAGCCCACAACCATCAGATGAATCCAGTTTGAAGATCAATGTTTTCAATCATCATCACCTGCTATCTCACCCAGATTCCAATTTGTTTCCTCAACATGTCTTTGTTGTTGTTTTTTTACTAAGCTTCTGCCTTCTTGTATATGACCTATTGGGGGTTTTCTTTACATATCTCACTTCTTTCTTGACTGCATATTACGTGAAAACAAAAGAAATGCAGAGAGTAAGTTATCATGTAACCTCTTTAACAAAACAGTAGTAGGCAACGAAGGATATCATCTGGCACAGAGGCGATCTTATAAGTTTCTCTCCGATATGAAGTTCTGGGAATTATATCTAGACTAAAATCCAGTATTGAGTCTATACCCTGAAAGTTATATATTCCTTTCAACAATTGAGGCTTGAGGAGATTTTACGGAAACATCTTTTTATTTCTGAAATCAAATATTTCCGTCTTCAGAACACCGTGCTCCAGGGATGCCTGGGTGGCTCAGTTGGTTAAGCATCTGACTTGGGCTCAGGTCATGATCACAGGGTCCTGGGATCGAGTCCCACATCGGTCTCCTTGCTCCGCAGGGAGCCTGCTGCTCCCCCTGCTTGTGCTCTCTCTCTCTGACAAATAAATAAATAAAATCTTTAAAAAAACCAAAACACCTTGCTCCAAACCTCATAGCTCCTCTTTCTAAGAACATTATTCTCCCCAACACCCAAGATAAAAATTATGGACTCAAAGGTGACTGCTAGTTCCTTGCCTCCTAAGACATTGTAAAATCTACAATTCTACTATACAACATAACTTTCTACCGTCTCCTCCCCTATTTCAGATCTCCCAAGATCTTCAGAACGTCTAAAATCTAAGTGACAGCCAGTATTTTCTATGTTCTTTTCCAGTCCTGTCTTTCCAATCTATTTAGGGAGCAAATGGCTATGTTATTTCTTTCGTCTGGGCCTTGGCTCTTCTGCCCAGAATACCTACCTCTATGTTTTCCATTTGCTCAACTCTCATTCATCCCTCAGGCAGCAGTACAAATACCTCTATGCTGGAAATCCTTCTTCTGTTTCCACAAATGAAACAACAATCATCACTTCCTCCTCTGAATTCGTATGTTCATAATCATTCCCTCTCTCGTTATTCATCTATTACCTATATTTTTTCTAGTAGACTATAACATCCTTGAAGGTAGAAACAATGATCAATTCAACTTCATTTTTCCATCATCTTCTGGAACGTAAATGGATATTTAAAACATTTAGGTAAAAAAAAAATACGTTAACATTTTAGGGCTAACACTTTGATAAATTGGTCCTTGATGCTGTCTAAGTAATAAATGGGTCCACATGGGCATGGAATAAATCATCACAGCCAGGTGATGGGATTTTACTGTTTTACATTATTGCCATTTACCTGGTCACCTTTGTCATAAATGCCCCTGGCTCTACTCTAAATGGATCAGAAAGATGTAAAACCCCTCCATTGAAAAGGGACACTTAAGGTTCAGACTGGCATGAAATTCAAATAGGTTAAGGCGACAAGTAAGGAGGCTTATTTCTTCTATCACAAGTCTAGTCATATGACCGCCTCATTAATGCATGAAGTTAGCTTGAAACTGCTTTTTCAAGTGGAATGTTATTCACTGTGGACCTTCAATGTCTGTACTCAAGTAGCTGTTCACACACCTGGTTCACACATGATGCAACTTTCTTAATCCCTCAGAAATGACCAGCCAACAGTAAATTAATAAATGAAAAGTTTCTTTTAACAGGTTTTTGCATTCATTTGCAAGTTCAGTGAACACTGAAAAATCAATTACAGAAAAGAAATTTAAAGTAAAATTGGGAGAAAAGAAAAGAGTATAAAATGGTGCACTTTTGATTAAATATAACATAAAAGCAGGAGGAATTAAAAAAAGAAAAAAAAACCTCACTTGGCAAGAGCTGTTCCTCTTGTAGCCCTGCATTCTCAATCAGAGAACTGCCAATGGCTATTTGAAGAAGAAAAACAGGAAACGGAGCTTTTCACAAGAAAAAAATAATATTTGTCAAGGGCAGTTTATTACAGAATGTCATTTCCAGATGACTCCCTTGAACAGAGTAATAAAAATGATTTTAAAAATTAAATAGAGTCCTTGCAGACAAATATAAGACTTTGTGTGAAGGCAGACTACCAAGAACCGGGGCTCACCTTCAGTCAAGGATATGAACTAGAGGAAAATAAAAGCCATATAGGAAAAAAGAACATCAAAGCCCAGTGATATTCATTGGCAAACACCGAAGGTTTAACTAGAAATATGTTTACTATTTTAATGCATCAATAATGATTTCTGAGTCTTGCTTATATTAATACACTTTTGTGTTGGCATCCTGCACCAGAACTTTCAATTCAGAGAAAATAATAAACTTTGAAAAGTTTATTTTCCTGAAAGCCAAAGAGCAACAGAGAGACAGAGGACGAGAGAGAGACAGAGACAGAGACAAAGAGAAACTGCAGTCTAGCAGGAACCAAAATGCTCTCTTGCAAAAGCATAATGGTTTGCTTGCAAAAGAGAAAAACAAAAAGTTGCAAAGTAGTAAGTTAACATCTGCTGGAAGGACAGAGACAACTTCAGGTCAAGGAAACTTAATCCCTGGTAGATGAACAAAATTGTGTCCCCCACCCCCACAAATTCCTATTTGAAGCACTAACTCCCAAAGTGACCGTAGTCAAAGGCAGGGTCTGTGAGGAGGTGAGAAAGGCTAAATGAGGTCTTAAAAGTGGCGTCCTAATCCAATGGGATTGGTGCCTTTCTAAGAAGAGGAAGATCTCTTTCTCTCTCTCTGCCCCCCACCCCTGCATCTGCTATGTGACGACACAAAGGGGAAGGTGGCCATCTGCAAGCCAGGAAGAGAGCTCTTACCTAATCGGCACCCTGGTCGTGGACTTTCCCAGTCCCGGAACTATGAGAAATTATTGTTGTTTAAGCCACTCAGTCCACGGCACTTTGGTACGGCAGCCCAAGCTGACCAATACATCCAAGTAAACTGTCAACTTGAATCTAGCCTTAAGAAGAAAGAAATTAGATATGTTTCCACCCATTCAATAAATGAATATTTATCAAGCTTATTCACAATCATTGTGCTAGGTGCTAGAATTTCAGTGATAAATGACAGAGCCATGTACCTTATCTTTGGGAGCTCAGAGACGAGTTGGGACCAAAAAAAAAAAAGATATTATTTAAATAATCATCAAAAAATGTAATTACCAACTATGACAAAAAGCTTTAAAGAAGAACTAAAAGGACCTGTGGGGCCTGATTCAGTGTGAGTGGCCAGAGCAGGCTCCTCTGAGGAAGTAACATTTGAGGTGAGAGAGAAAAAAAATCAGTGTTAGTTGACGTGGCTAAAGAGAGGGAGAAAGACCAGGGCAGGGCTGGCTAGAGGGACAGCGGGCTAAGCTGGGGAAAAGGGCCGTGCAAAGGCCCTGCATGTGAGGCTTGCTCTTCCTTATGGATTCTGTGCCTCAGTATTATGTATTGAAGTATGCGAAATAAAAGCTTCTGTGAAAGTATTGTCTGTGCCAGGAGAAACAAAGTGCCTTTTTTTAAAGGGGGAAGAAAATAAAAACAATCTTAAAAATCATCAGCGATATTGTGGGGATGCCAAGATGATGTGACCTATGAGGCAGTGGGTAGCATTTGGAGATGGTGGCTGGACATACAAACGAAGTGAATTCCTTCAAGTTTCATTGCTCTTTCCGAGCTTCTTAACCCAAGTGGCCTGTGATGTTGCCATGGGAACAAATCTCAGCCAAAGAAATCAATGAGTTAAAAATAAGAGTGAGAACAATGGTAACCAACTTGATTTGCCCCAGTGTCCGACCTCTCCAGAACATGACTCAGTGTGGCTGGGGAAAGTGAGAGAAGAAATGAAGGTTCCACCCCAGAGAGGGATCTGCTTGGCCCGGCTTTCTCTAAGCCAAGCTACATAATCCACTGTCCCTGCTAAGTGAATAAATTGGAACAGTTCCTTCTCAGGCTCCGATTGGCTATGATTACAGGGAGCGGGAGTGGGATCATGCAAGGGTTTCTTTGCTGAGTGAGGCAGATTTTATGAGAAGGAGCTTTTAGGGGAAACAATTATCCAAATCTAGTACAGTTTTACACAAAGCCAGACATGTATGCTCTTAGGGAACCTTTTAATTCCGCCAAACAAAGATTAAAAATAGAGCTCTGAATATACCACTGAAGCATCATTCATTTAGCGTGAAGTTTTATCTATCTGTTCAAGGTCAGATACACCATTTAGGGGTAACGCTGAAAGTTGAGTTAGTCCTTTAAGCCTTAATATGGGGCAGTTTCTTAGATCCTTTCCTGAGGTTTTAAGGGGAGTAGGGTAATTTGGGGGCACTTGGCTAATGAGATTTAAAGGTATAAAGTAAACAAAGGCCAAGGAGGTGTACACTGTCCCCATACAGTCAGTAATTTGAAGAGAAGCAGGCCTGATTCTATCCCCCAACATCCTCAGCTTTATCTTCTCCCAGTCCTGGCCCTCCTGATGTATTCTTTAAAAAACAATCACATGGAAGCTTTTGCATCATGTGTTTTGTTCATAGACCTACTTTGAAATGATAACTTATTTTACTTGGAGGAACAGAACTACAGTTCCTTTTATAAAAGTCAAAACAGTACTTATTGAAGACTCTATTGCCTCTGCATCTGAAGCATCCAAAGAAAGAAGTGGTCTGAGGGAGAAATCAAGTTTCAGCAGTTTTATATGCAGTTTATTGATTAACAGCAGAAAGTAAAATAGGGCCCGGTCTCTGAAAATGAACACCCAAGAAAGCCAAGAGGCCACGTGCAGAGCGGCAGCAATGCGTGGCAGATCCGCTCCACGCCTACGCATTTCCGTCTGCACATGACAGGATGAAAAAATGAACATTTCCTCTCAAACCAATGACCAGAAGATATCCACGAAGGCCTCTGATTTAGCATCAGTGTATTAAGTACTTGAAAAATAGCTCATTAAGCTAAAGCAAATCGGCACATGGAATGACATGGCAAACACAGATGAAAAGTGAGAATTTACTATTTGTGGGGCCTGACTTCTTATAATCACTAAAATAATTCACTGCTTGTGAGAAGTTCTCAGCAGTGTACTAGGTAAGGATTAAGGAGAATTACCTGATCATTTGGCTTGGCATCAGCCCAGGATGCCATTGTATTCAGTATAGATCTGATTCCTCTTCCCCTTGCCCTGTCTTCAGAAAGAAAGCAGGTGAATTAAGTCAAGCAGGCAACTTAAGACTTCCTTGCCATGTGGGTTGACGAACTTCTTTATCCACTTAGAACATGATGACGTTCACCCTTTAAAGGCAATGCTTTATTAAGGCCTGGCTATTTCCTATTATACTAGCTATATCTGTGCCCTTTAGAAAAATCACTCTAAGCTTCAGAGTTTTTACCTAAAAAAGGATGTAGATAATGTTTAAATGTCCCAATAGATAAAGTATACACCCCAAATTTTCTTTTATGGCACATTACTGTATTTTGAAAGTAAATAAATGCACGCATGGATACACATACACAAACCTTTTGTGCTCCAAAGGAATTTTAGGTTGAGTAGAAGTTCTATATCTTAAATGTAGTGATGGTTATATAGGTTATAATTCAAAACTCACTGAACCGTACTCTTAAATGAATGGATTTTATTATATGCTAATTATACCTTAATGTTGATTTTACAAATGAAAGCAAAAGAGTACACACCAAAAAAAAAGATAGTTCCATTTCTAAATAGGGCTTATTAATATCAGATACATGAAAAATAATATCTAAAATTATTCTCATTTGCAAATTTTTAGTTTTTCAAATTTTAGGCATAATTTCAGCCGTATATATGTTCTAGATTTTAGGAAAGCACATAATAAATTTTTTGTACCCTCAGTAGAAGCTCCAAAAATGTTCTTTATCTTCCTTGAATAGGGTTTCTTCCACTTAAGAAAGTTAGATACATTCAAAAGTGCCTAAGAGTTGCAAAACACAAAACACAATGTTTTGAGTGATGTGCAAAGTATTAAAATTGGTCCTTACCTTAAGAATCCTGGAACTAACTTTAAATATGTGCTATATGTGCACTGGGCATACAAGTTACAAAATATTAAATAACAAATGAACTGAGTGGTACAGGCAGTAAGCATACAATGGTGTTGTTTAGAAAGGAATAATTAGTGAGTTTAGAATGGCAAAGCAGGAGAGGCTCCATGGTGGTATGTGTACATGGGAAAAGTGCCAAAGACTACATAGGGGTGTTTTCAAGCTCTGGGAAAAACTATGACTATGAGTGAGTGTACAGAATTTCCCAGAATGAAGAAAAAAGGGAAGGTAGAATACTTTGAGCTTAGCAAAGGGAATCAAAATAATAATATTCAATCCAGCCAAACCATATTGCCTGTGCTTTGAAATTGAAACCTATATACCATTAATGAAAGGTGATGACAAAGAACAAAAATAAATTCCAAGTTTTTTATTGGATTTTATTCTGTTACTTACTATAGTACCTCAGGGACTGAAAAGAGAACCTGTTTGTTGAATATCTCCAGAAAAAAACCCTTATTTTCTAATGTTAGAATGCAGAATGCAAGGGACAGAGATTATTTCAGCTTTCTTTTATTCTCAGGCACCACAAAACAATCCCACAATATTAGCAAATGAATAATTTATTTAATGTATATGTACACACCTGTTCTCAGAGTGGTGCTGACACATTTACTTACTGTAGGGGGAGGAAAGATTTATAAAACAAATCTCTACAGGTATCTGTGGTCCACAGACTTTTTTATTGTTGTTTTAATTGACAAAATCCCTTCATCCACTAGCTTACTATAGACAAACTGTTGCTTGCATGTTTTTGTTTTTGTTTTTGTTTTTTAAAGCAATGTAATAAGAATAAGGGGTAAAATCTGTTTCGGAGGAAAGATCTCTCCTCCCCTCCAAATTAGCATCTTTCTTTACCATTTAGTTTCAAAACATATTGAGAATTTAAACATTGGCATATGGAGGCCAAACTACTACTTCTTTTAATTTAAGGCTAAGTTAAAAGTGGTAGCTTTGTTGTGAGAACTAAATGCACTCCTAACATTGAACCCCCAAGATTAGGCGGACTAACCCACCCAGTGTCTCTCATAGTCCGAGGAAGCAGAAACTACCCGTGGAAAAACCAAACAGCTTGTCCTCCTAGTGGGCAGCTTTACTTTAGTCCTAAAAGGAAGAAGTGGTAGCTCTGAGCTGAGGAGGTAACAGCAGATATGCCTCTTTTTTTCTTCCCAATTTTACTAATCAGATAGGTCATTCCACTGCCCCTGGGTTGAAGTGAGTAAAGGGACAGGCAGATTCTGAGTTTCTTTTATAGGCAGGAAACATGAAGAATGAGGAGTAAGTGTTCCTCATAAAATTCCCCTACTTTTTTCTTCAAAACCCATTAAACTTTTCATAAAGCAGGAGTGTGGCTGTACTCTTTGGGAGAGGAGACCAACAGTCTGTCAGGGAAATACATTAGACTGCCTCTCCATTACCAACCACTGCTCTTTAGGAATCATCCTGGGACCACCGATACGCACTTTAGATTTCGCTAAAATTGAGGAGAACAAAGTTATCGAGATCAGCTCCAAGGCCCCTCTGTACCCAAGGGTAAAAATCCATTTCCTATTTAGTTTGCCATCCCAACCACACTATCCAAATAGCATTCCAGAAATTCTGCAAGGACACTGAACACATTCAGATAATAAAAATACCCACAAATAGGGACGTCCCAATGTGAATAAAAAAACACTCTCCCATTATCAAATTCCAAGGGAGAATGGTTAAATCCACTTGGAAGTTAAAATCCCCAAATATTAAAGTTCCAATGCCTTATTATTTAGATTCACATCATTTTGCCCTTTGGTGTGTAGTCCAAATCTCCAAATTTTTAAGTCCAAACCCCATCATTTTCAGCAAAACGTTGGTGGTGTGAAATTGAGTTTCTTTAAGCATTCTCAGAAAAGAGATGATGTTCCTTTGGGGTCACAAATTGCAATGCCAGTTCTCGGGTATAGTTGGGTGTTGAACACTTTAGGGCGTGAATGGGCATGCGTGACGATGAAGCACCGCTATCACCAAGTCGTGGTGGCGAGTTACACCGAGTCCCAAGAGTGATTATGCCCAGCAAAACCACATTCCCAGCCACGCATACTTAATGTTGGAGAGGTCACAGCAAAGGGAGGTGGAGGTCTTCACGCTCTCAGCCTTGCCGAGTTACCAGTCGCTGGTTGGTGCCCAAATGTCTGCTGTCCCACACAGAGGCCTGATCAGAGAGGCCAGACGTCCCCTGCAGTCAGCTTCACGGTGCCCCGATCGGTGAGGCCGGCCCGCCGCCCGCCGCTGCGGGCAGTTCTCCCGCCGCCCTGACGCCGCATCCCCACCTGCTCTGGGGCCGCCAACTGTCGCAGCGAGCCCTAGCCTGCCGGTCCACATCCCACTACTTTGACCGCGAAGCTGCAGCTTTGAAGAACTTGGCCAGAATCTTCTTCTCCAATCTTGTGAGGACAGGGCACACGCTGAGATACCCATGAGGCCACAGGTCAAGGCGGTGCCGCATCTTCCTTCAGGATATGGAGGAACCAGAGCTCAACGACTGCGAGGGCGGCAGAAGGCAACGGATTCTGCCTCACACTTGGAAACTAGTGTGAATCAGTCACTACTGGAACTGCACAAACTGGCCACCGACGAAAACGACGCTCACATGTGTGACTTCTTTGAGGTTCCCGGCTGAAGGAACAGGCAGGTGAAAGCCATCTACGAATTGGGTGGCCTTGTAACCAAGTTGCACCAGAGGGACGTGCCCCCTGCCTGTCCTGGCCGTGTCCCCGCATGTCCCCCTGCCCCCACCCAAGCTCCAGCCCCCACCCTGGAACCTGGCTTGGCCAAGCGTGACAAGTGCACTCTGGGAACTAAGCCTAGGTTGGCTTCCCCACCACTGTGGGGTGACTATGGTCACCAAAGTAGTGGGTGCATATCGAGCTTACATTTGCTCTTTCAGTAAGTTGTACCAGAACATTTACTTATGCTTTATCATTTGTACCATTTCGTCACATGAAATAATTTGGTACCCCTCTCCTCCAAACCCACAAACAAACAAACAAACAAACCCAGAACCTGATTCATTTTGTTTCATTGCATACACCATATTTGGAAGAAGGAAGTGGATGGGGGAGACCTTGTTTCCCATGCTGCATGTATTTCTTAAATTTGTCAATGTCCATTTCCTCCTGGACATGCATGATTTCTGAATCCTGGTACTTGAATAAATGTGAACTCTATCTAATGACATGCTGGTTTTTAATTCATTATTATTATTATCTGTTCTTTTCTGTTATCTTCTTTTCTTCCCTTTTCAGTTATTGCCACTACTTCTTGAGATACATACTTAGAGCTAAGGCTTTCACCACATCTCTGCATTTGGGTTAACTGTAAATCACCCTTTGCAGATTATAGAAATTGCTGTTGTTGCTTCTGAAGCTTGTGCTTAGGGAAGTGTTTCTCAAAGTGTGGTCTCCAGAGCTGCATTATCAGCATCACTGGGAATTTGCTAGAAATACAAATTATGGGCCTAATGGAAGCATCTGAATCAGAAACTTGGGAGATGAGGCCTAGCAATCTGTAAGTTAGCAGGTCCTCCTGGTAATTCTGATGCATATGCAAGTTTGAAAATCACTGCTGTCTTGTAGGAGAGGCTGGTAAACATTTTCTGTAAAAAGCAAATGGGCTATATATCTTCTCTGTCACAACTACTCCACTCTGCCACTGTGGAGAGAAAGTCACCTTAGACTAATCAGTGTGGCTGTGTTCCAACAAAATTTTGTTTACAACAATAGCCTGATTTGACCTGTGGCTATTGTTTGATGACCCCTGTCCTAGGGGATAAGAATAGAACAATACAGTCTTGTATCCCTCAGGAGACTATCTTCCTTCCATTCTTCAAGTCCATCTAGCTGTGAAACATGTTCTCTCAGGGCATAATACCACCCAGAATAGTTCAATCATCTTGAAATATATCCACTGATTTTTGAGAATTATTCATTCATTCACATGAATACACACACACACACACACACACACACACATATATATATACACACACATACACATATAGCTGCATTAAAGAGATAAGATTAATTACCCCCAACAGTTTTTCCTTGGCTCTGAATATATGATAGGATTTGGAACAGTCATCTGGCATTGACATTAAACTAGATTTTGTAAACTGTAAATCATAGTATTATAGGAATTTGGCTTTCTTAATGTTTAAATGTAACAAATATTTTATACCCACCAATACCAAGGACACAAGTGAAGATTCTCTTTTTTCTCTAATATAAACTTCACCACAGTTAGGAAGAGCCCATGTTTTTAAATCAAACTGTGGTCACACAACCTATTAGAGGCCTGTCCAGGCCCCTATAGCAGAGCTAAGAAGCTTTGCTCAAGCAACTCTGTGATTCCCATGTATCTTTGCTGAGAACACTCATATGAGCTGTGTGCTTTTGCTGGGACTCTCTGGCTTTTGCCAGACCCTTTTGTGTCCTTGGTTAAGGCCTACACACTCTTATACAATTAAGCCAAACTTAGTCTAGCCTGCAATGGAGGGAAAGTGGTAACCAATAAAAATTGATAATAAGCCTTTAAAACCCCCTAAGGTCAGAACACTATGGTGACATAAGAAAGCCAAGGGTCCAAAGATACAGTCATGATCCCACCAAAATCTTCTCTAACATACTTTCCCTCCAGAATTCTACTCCTTGTTCTTAATGCCTCTAGCCAATGCACCAAATGCTGAAGCCTCTTAGGGGACTTAATAAACAGCTTCCCTCCCCCCATTCAAGTTCTAAACACATGGAAAATTAATGTAGAGAGTAGCTATCTATCTTATTTCTTATAAATGCAGCATCAGAAAAATTAGCTTGGGTGTCAGAGCCTAGTGGGCTTTCTAACATTGATCCCCAGAACTGGGCAGAGTTAGACAGAGTCTTGATACCTGAAGACTGGGGAAGACCTCCCCATGCTCACACCCTTTCCCCAAGGAGATGGAGCCTTCTCCTGGTGGAGCAACAGGTACTCACTGCCTCTAGTCAGCTCCTCTAAAAGATCACTCACTGCTGAGCTAACATAGCCTGTTTCTTCCTAAATTTACCCAACAACTAAGTCACTTCATGCCATCTGTGGCAGAATGAGTAAAAGGATAAAGAATAGAAGGAGTTAAATCAGTTGAACTCTCTCCCCATGGGGTGGGGGGCGGGCAGTGGGGTATCAGGAGTGAGAAGTAAATATCTCATCTTAACAGAAGTTAGTTAGGCAAGGAAGATGTGTGTGAGACACGGCTCATTGTCAACCATCAGTGTGATTGTCAAACCTATTTTCAAAATTTTCCCTATGAAATGAGCCCTGATTTTACAGGTAGGATGATGAGATGTTTTGATCTTAGGAAGGGAAGCTCCTACACAGGCCAAGAAACAACGGTTCAAATCAGTCACAACGTTCCTATTCCACTTAAATTGAAATCAGTCTAGGGGTGGGCAAAGACCCTCTAGCCAATGAGAAGTAAGATAATATTCTTACCCCTTGAGGACTTTCTTTCCCTGATAAAAATAAAAATATCAATTGGAAAGTCTTTTTCCCAGTCCTTCTTTCTTGATGTGGCTGCCTGGAAGGGCATGAACCTTATTTTGAAGAGGAAGACAAAGTCTGACATTTTAAGCTGAATTATACCTGGAATGATTAATCCTATTGATTGACTTATTGTTAACAAACTCCTTAGTGAGTTTTCTGTCACTTCTGCTTAAAGCATTCCTGATACGGATGAAAGCAATATATTCAACTACTTAGACCCTATTGTTGTTCAGTTTACTATCTCTAGACTTGACTTAAAAATCCATAAACAAATTATGTGTCTTGAAACATATGAATTAGAGAGTTTGAGCCTCTTCATTTGAAATACTGATCCCCCCATTTTAAATTTCTTGCAAATTTAGGCATAATTTAAATATCGTGAATTGCACTAATGCTAAATGTACCGTTTGATTTTTACAGATGAATAAATCCATGTACCCTTCTCCCTATCAAAATAAAGAATTTTGTCATCACCCCTAGGAATATCCATCATTTACCTTTCTGTTCAATCTTGGCCCTGCATCCAGAGGCAACCACTGTTCTTATTTCTAGTACCATAGATTAATTTGCCTATTTTTAAATTTCATAGAAAAAGGATCATACATTATGTACTCTTTTGTGTCTGCATTCCCACAAATGGCATAATGTTTTTGAGATCCATCCATTTTGTACTTATCTATGTTTGTGAAAAGTGTTCCATTGTACAAGTATACCACAATTTATTTATACATTTACCTTTTGATGAACACTTGGTTTTTTTTTTTTCTTTTCTTTCTGTTATTTTTCTTTGCTATCATAACTAAAACTGCTACTAGCAAATGTGTAACAGTGTTTTTGTGGACATATGTTTACATTTCTCTTGGATAAATAGCTAAGAGTAGAGTGCCACTCATAGCATTTGTGTATGTTTAACTTTATAAGAAAATGTCAAGACATTTTCCAACATGATTGTATTATTCTACTCTTTTTCAGCACTGTATGAGAGTAGCTTTTCCAATATTTGGTATCATCAGTCCTTTGAATATTAGTCATTCTGGAGGGTGTGCAGTGACATTTCCTGGTTATTTTAATATGTATTTCTCAGATGACAAAACACATTGGGCATGTTTTCATATGCGTACTGGCCACTTATAAATCTTCTGTTATGAAGAGTCTGTTCAAATCCTTTGCTTATTGTAATTGGATTATTTGGCTTCTTATTGTCAATTTGTAGCCGTTATTTATATATTTTGCAAATGAGCTCTTTGTCAACTATATGCATTGTGAATATTTTCTCCTAGTCTGTGACTGCTCTGTTCTTTTCTTAATGATATTTGTTTTGATGAGCAGAAGCTTTAAATTTTGAACAAGTTATCATTTCATCATTTATTTCTTCTCCTAGCTATTACTTTTTGTTTACAAAACTTTTCTTAACCACCTATCATGAAAGTATTCTCTTATGTTTTCTTCCAGAAGATTAATACTTTTATTCATTTGGGCCACTGATTCATCCCAAATTAATTTTTTGTATGGTGCAAGGTAGACATCATATGGATATGTAGTAGTACCCATATCATTTGTTGAAGAGACTTTCCTTCCTTTCTTCCACTGAATCATTTTCACACCTGTATCAGAAATTGAGGGACTGGATATGAGTTCACTTTTGACCTCTCTATTCTCTTTCATTTATGTTTGTCTATTTTTATATCAATGACATGTTAGCTTAATAATAAATCTTAAAATCAGGTAATATAGATCCTCTAACTTTGATCTTTATTTTTAAGATTTTTTTTTTTTTTTGGCTATCCAAGCCCTTTGCATTTCCTTATAAAGTTGAGAATAAGCTTGTAAATGTCTACCAAATAAATAAATAAATAAATAAATAAATAAATAAATAAATAAGTGGTCTGGGTTTCTTATGGGGATTGAATAATATCTGTAAATCAGTGTGGAGGAAATTGACTTTTTAACAATTTGTTTTGCAAGCCATAAATACAGTATACCTCTCCATTTACTTAGGTTTTGTTTAATATTTCTTAGAAGCAATGTTTTGTAGTTTTCAGTGTAGAATTTTGCACAACTTACATTAAGTTTATCCTTGCATATTTTATGATTTTCCATACAGCTATACATTATATTGATTTCATCATTTTAACAGTTTGTTACTCATGTATAAAAGTGCAATTGTTTTTCATATATTGACACTTATTCCATAAATTTGTTAAATTTATTTATTACTTTTGGTTTTGGTTTTGGTACAAAAATCTTAAGATTTTCTACACACAGTCACATTGTCTGCATATAGATTTGGTTTTACTTCTCCCTTTCTAATCCCAATGCCTCCTATTTATTTCACTTGCATTGTACCATCAGTACAAGGATGAATGAAAGTGATGAGTGGCTAATCTTGCTTGTTTCCAAATTTTCCATTTTTAGAGAAAAGACTTTGAGTATTTAATTTTGATCTTACCTCTAAGGTTTTCATATTTGTGGCAATTCATTTCCATTCCTAGTCAGTAGAGAGCATGTATCATGAATGTGGATTGTTTTTTTCCAAATGCTTATTTTGCATCTATTGAGATAAGTTTTCTTTTTAATGTTAAATAAATACTTCCCTTAGAATAGATGTGAGGAGAGAGAGATGTAGCTTTACTATTTGTCTGTCATGTTTCAGTAGGTTTTATTTTTTCTAAGTTGAGTTTTGGATGTCTTGCATTTAAATGGAATTGGACTGATAAATTAAAAGTCTAAGACAAAAAAATTAGAATGATGAGAATAAAGTAGTGAAATATTAACAACAGTTCAAATGGAACAAATGACTAATCTTTGAAACAAAATATATTCTCAATTTCAGATTGGAGTCACTAGTAGTTACTTTTTCCTTCCTTCATTTATATATTCAGGAACAATCTAACAAGTACTTATTACATATTAGGTATAAGTAGATGTTATCTGTGCATATATGCACATACATATAGAGAAAAGATTGCCAAAATGTACATCAAAATTGTAACAGCAGTTATCTCTAGGTAGTATGACTGCACGTGGCTTATTTTCTTCTCTAAATAATTGTATCTTGTGAATTCCCCCCAAAAAGGATGTCTAATTTTTACAATTTGAAGAAAGTTATTATTTTTAATAATTTTATTTTATTTTTAAATCATTCCAAGATAAAGACAGTAAAACCTATCATCTTAACATGACTCACCTATGATAGCAGTTTATATGGTACAGATTGGCAAAGTGCCATGCATAATGCATAGTCTCTTCAGTCCCAAGTTCAATGTCATCTGGAGCAGCGTTCATCATGTCAGTGCTGGATGTCATACAACAGTTTCTTCCCTTTATATCATCATGCCTGCTAGTAAATTAAATGTTCAGCATATCACAAAAACAGAATGAAGGGAAGGGAGTATCTGTTTCTAATGTCCAAACTCAGCTTCACTGCATACTTTTTAATATGTTCACCTGATTTTATATACCCTTAAGCCAAATGGACTTTCAGGAGGGAAAATCACAATGCTCATTTACTAATGTCTGACTTTTCGTCTGTATTCCTTAGAGCCCTCATCAGCTCAATCTGTTAGATCTAATGATAGTATTAGAGGTATCAAGAATGGTGGCCACCATTTATTCCTTCAACAAAGAGTTAATATCTTCCTGGCAATATTCTAAATATTGAGGATATACTAGTTAACAGCATAGACAAGACTCTTGCTTCCATAGAGTTTCCATTCTAGTGGAAAGGGGGAGATAGAAAATAAACAAAGGAATAAATGGCAGTGTGTCATAAATGCTAAGAAGAAAATTAAGCATGTATCAGAAAGTTACTTTCTTCTCTAGATTAGGAGATCAGTAAAGGCCTGAGTAGTGAAACTTAAGCTAAATTATAAGAAAAAAAAATAGGCATGGAAAAATCTGGGTGACAACATTGTGGACAAAAGGAATGTTAAATACATAAGTACTGAGCTCAATGTTTCAAGACACAGAAAGAAGGTGAGACTAAAACATAATGGACAAGAAAGAAGTGGAGGAGATATGGTTTAAGAGGTAGACAAGGGTGGCCCCATATGATTCTAAAATTACTACAGATCATGACAGTTTACTTATTTCCCTTGCCAGCTTTTAAGATTCTTTACAAAAATGATTTCTCTCACACTTTCGAAATGTAACTCATAACACTAATTCTGGGAATAATTATACAAAGGTACAAATATGACAAAGGGTTAGACTCATTCTAAGGTGACTTAGAAATAAAAAGCAACTAATACTGGAGACTCCAGATGTCTGTTTCATTTCTCTCTGCTCTCAGTTTTAGATTGCACTATGTGTCCTTTACTGTATCATGAATGTGAGTCACTGAACCTCTATTCCCTCAATTTCCTCAGCAGTTCAAAGCAGATAGTAGCAACCGGGCGGCCATGATGTAAGATTTTAGTGAAATAATGGTTGTGAAAGAAACTGGAAGAGCTGGAAACACTAAGCCTAGAGTGAGGAACCAGACTTTAAGTGGAAAATGCTAACCTATAAAAGATCTTCTATGAAACAGGAACTAGAGTTCTTTTGCCTTTCCATTGGTAGGAGACTTTTCAAACTATCAATGAAATCACCCACCTCTATTACTTTCTTATGGCTGCAATAGCAGATTACCACTAATTTGGTGGCTTAAAGCAACACAACATGAATTTATTTTCTAACCATTCTGGAGGTTAGAAGTCAGAAATGGATCTCACTGAGCTAAAATCAGTGGGCAAGGCTCTTTCTGGAGGCTATGAGGGAGAGTATAATTCCTTGCCTTTTCCACCTTCTAGAGGCCACCTGCATTCCTTGATTCATGGGACTCCATCTCTCTGGGCTGAGTCTTTCCCATGCTGCCATCTCTCTGACTCTCTCCTTTTCCTCCCTCTTCCACTTTTAAGTACTTTTGTGATTACACTGGGGCCACCCAGATAATCCAGGATCAACTTTCCATCTCAAGATCAGCTGATGAGCAACCTTAATTCTCGCTCCAATATTGCTTCTGTCTTGCATGTAACCTAATATATTCTCAGGTTCCAGGGATTAGGATATAGAAGTCTTTGGGAACCATTTTTTCTGCATATCACACCACCTTAAGATGGTTTATCAAAAAATTCATAGGTAAGTAGTCATGGATAACAGTGAGGGTTTTAATGTGGGAGTGAGATTGTAGCCAAGGTTTTGGTGCTTAGAGGAAGAGAATATTTGATGTAGGTTTGACACATTCACACAGGGAAAGAATCTGTTTCAAGGGGAGAAGGAAGCAGTTTTCCATAGGTTCTAACACAATCTTTTCGAAGAATAGCACAAACCTTCTAGTGTCTACGCTTTCCTAAGAAAGGTCATGTGAGGCGAGAATGGAAAAACCTGGATTCCACCAATCAGAGGTTTGTTTCCATAGCATTTCCATTTCTTTTAGACAATTGCCCTGTAATTTGGACTAAGTAAAGCTCTGCTGTTTCTGTGAATATCTCCTTGTTTAGTCAAGAATTCTTCCTGTTGGCTTTTATTTAATAGTTCATTATTAGAAAAATTATTTTGGACCAAAACATCTACAGTTGCTTTGCCTATCTTAACATATCGTCATGACAAAAACTCTCCCTAATGCCAAGAATGTGACAGACCAGAAACTTAAGTGTAACATATGATCTGTGCATAACTAAAATTTATTAAAATTATCAGCATCAAATATTAATCATGAGCACACTACCTGCAGGGCTTTCTATATTAGGCAATAAAGATAAATAGTTATGAGACATGGTTTCTCCTCTTAAAGGCCTGACAACCTCTTTCAGGTGACAGGATCCATACATAAAATGATAAGTAAAAATGCAGGGCAAAGTGCCAAGAGAGTGGTTGAGGCAATGAGTGCTGCAGAATTTCAGAGAATGAAAAGAATCACTGGAAGAGAGAACATTTATTGCAGGCTTTATGGAGCTTGAATTCAGTTTGCCTTGCGTATGTATAGAGAAGCAAATAGGTCATTCCAGATGAGGAGGATACAGTTATGGGAGTAAAGTCACATAGGTAAAATCATATGTGATTTTTTTGACGGGCAATGAGAAATCTATTTTGACTAGCACAGGTGATATGTTAGACAATAGAGGGAGGTCAACTTGAACCTTGACTGCACAAGACTTTCTACATCAAGGTAATTAGGTTGATCCTTAAGCTTAAACAAGAGGAGTAAGTTTTGATTAAGAGGATGTCAGTGGGAAGAGCCAGTTCAGGAAGAAAACTAGCAGAATGCATTAATGAGAGGGTATTATTATAATGATGTGGTTCTGAATGTATCATTATCCATCTCACTATCTCTATTTTTGTATCGATGCCTATATCTGTGCCCATAAACATACACATATCTGCATAATTTCACCTATTGCCCCCATTAAATAATAACCATTTGGTCCAAAGAATGCTCTTTTATTTTTATGAAGCTGAACCATGGCACCAATTAGGTACTAAGAAAAAACATTGGTATTCAGTGTGTTTGTATATTGTCTAATATTGCTGCAGTCGAAAACTGTAGAAACAATGCCTTCTGAAGCTGACTGCTTTAGTGAAAAAAAAAAAAAAAAAACAAATACTCCTCCAGTGACTACACTTCAGTGAACACCAGTCTCCTGGGAACAAGCGGAAAAACCATATTGTTAGTACCAGGTTTCAGTCGGCTACCTGACACACTCCTCTGAATTAATGCACCTCACCATCTTCCCAATGCTAATGCAGCTGTGCAGTGTGTCCGTGTGGGTTTTAATACGACAAGAATGCCTTCAGCTCAGGTGTGTTGGCTCGAGAAAAGACAGGGAGGTGGCCCAAAGGAATGAATATAGTAAGAATCAAGCCAACACTCAACAGTGGTTGAAAATGCAACCTGAAAGTTAAAGGATATTGTGAATAAACGAACAGGCAATTAAAATCACTCCAGCATTTCCAGAGCCTCTGAATTTGTCTGTGCCTTCAAACTGGAGGAAGATTATTGTGCTCTTACATGTAGCACCTCTCACCAGTACTGATGGCAAAATGAATGCTCAAAATTAAAGGAAGAGTCAGGGTACTGACGAAAATTAATTAAAGTAAGAGACGTTTCATTTCCAGTTCAAAACAAAAGTTTGATGCTTTGCACTTGTAGCTAAGATATGGTTTTAAATAAATGTTCACATCATATGTATACCTGATTTTAGGCTACACAGCGTACTTTATATATGCCTAAGATCATCATAATAAACTTATGGATCATCAGTTTTGTTTTATGAATGAGAGAAACATTCACAAAGAGAGTAAATGACTCATCAAGGTTATGTGGTCATTTAACAAAATTATACTAAAATAGATAACACAGACTGTGGCTTTTAACATATCTCTATAGGATTCTTTTCTCAGTTCCCTTTTAGCCAAGAAATGTTCTAACTTAACCTTTAGGTGGGAGTAATATCTGACATACAAATTTGGGTGAAGATTTAATGAAATAATGAATGCAAAGTTTCCAGCACAGTATCTGGCACATAACAAGCCCTCAATAATTGAAGATATTTTGGTTTGCTATTACTGCATAATAAACTACCAGAAACCCAGTAGCTTATGACAAAAATCACGTATTATCCCTCAACAGCCTGTAAGTTGACTGTGTTCACCTGGATGCTTTTGCTGCAATCCTCCTCACCTTTGGCTGGTTGGAACATCCAAGATCACTTGTTCACAGGATTGGCAGTTAATGCTGGTTTGGTAGCTTGGAGCTCATCTAAGGCTGTCAACAGATGACCTCCGCAGTCCTCCATGTGGTCTGTCTGTGTGATTTGGGCTTCTTTCAACATGCTGAAAGAGAAAATATTCACAGCACACGAAAGCAGAAGCTGACAATCTCTTCAAGGTCAAGTCTTTGATGTTACACAGAATCATTTTCTTCTCAGTCTATTGGTCAGATTAAGTCATAAGGTCAGCCAGACTGAACAGCAAAAGGAATAAACTCCACCTCCTATTGCGGGGTATCCAAAAAATGTATAGTCATTTCTCATCTACCATAGTGTTCCTTCTGGACACAAGTTATTTACAACCTTCCCAAAGGCAAAAATACATGCATCTTGTATCTGTTTCCTAGGACTTCCACAAAAAGTACCACAAACTGGCTTAAAACTACAGAAATGTATTGCTTCACAGTAGTTCAGGAGACTAGAAGCAAGAAGTCGAGGTGTTGGCAGGGCCGTGACTCCCTCTGAAACTAGGAGAGGAGTGTCCTCAATGCCTCTTCTAGCTTCTGGAGTTTGCTAGAAATCCTGGGTGCTCTTTGCCTTGGAGATGCTTCACAGAAATCTCTGCCTCCATCATCACGTATCTTCTCTCTGTAGGCCTCTTCTCTTCTGAGAACATAGCAGTCATATTGGATTAAGGGCCAACCCACCTGACTCCACTGTGACCTTGTCCTAACTAATGACATCTACAACAACCTTAGGCCCACAAAGGTCACATTCTGAGGTACTGGTAGTTAGGACTTCAAAATTTTCTTTAAATTATCCTTTACTTGTTGGGGCGCCTGGGTGGCTCAATTGCTTCAGCGTCTGCCTTTGGCTCAGGTCATGATCCCAGAGTCCTGGGATCCAGCCTGGTGTCGGGTCCCTGCTCATAGGGGAACTTCTTCTCACCCTCCCTCTGCCGCTCCCCCTGCTTGTGCTCTCTCTCAAATAAATAAATAAAATCTTTAAAAAAAATAAATAAATTATCCTTTGTTTTTAGAAAAAGTTCAAGGATACTGATTGCATGAGGCACTTTGTAATATTTCTTCCAAATCTGTAATTATATGGTTCTGTTAGCCTATAGTAAAATAATCAGAAATTTATCTTAATCTCAAGGAAATTATATGTATTTCTCTTAAGGTTTGGGTACAGTGTAGCATTCTTTCAATAGATATAATTGTAAAATGATAATAACAAAAGTAATAATAATAGCTGATATGAAATGAATTCATACTATGGTCCAGACACTGTTTCTTGCACTTTGCACTAATTAATACATTTAATCTTCAATACAACCTATCAGATACTAGGTATTATTACTGTTATTACTACTACTAGGTAGTCACTATTACTGTCCTCTTTTACCAATGAGATGGCTGAGGCAAAGGGAAGTAATTTGTCCAAGTTCACACAGGTAAGAAGTGGTAAGGCCAGGATTTCAAGACAAATATAGCTACAGGATTTATAACTATAACTACATCTACTGAAGGAAATTTCTGTGCTGGTAAATACTTCGCCAAAATTAGTTATACAAAAGAATGATTAAACACATTTTCTACTCCCAAGGAGTTTATACACATATGAAGCCGATTTCAGTTTGGCATGTTGCTTGAGGAAATAGCAGTAGATGTCTTAGTCAACTCAGGCTGCTATAACAAAATACCATAGACTGGATGGTTTAAACAACTGGCATTTCTTTTTCACAGTTTTGGAGCCTGGGAGTCCAAGAACAAGGTGCCAGCAGATGGCAGATGTGGCTCCAAGTCAGGAAGCATGAGACTTGCAGACTGCTCCCTCCTGCTGTGTCCTCACAAGCCTGTCCTCAGTGCCTGCGCAGGAGGCACAGACTATCACCTCGCTCTCTCTCTTCTTAGAAGAACTAATCTTATCATAAGCGTCCTGTGCTTGTGACTTCATCTAAACCTAGTTACCTCCCAAAGGCCCCCACATCCAAATACCAGTAACATTGAAGGTGGGGACTTCAGCCTATGAATTTTGAGGGGAACACGTTCGGTCCATAACGGGAGGTATGCTGGGGATTTGGGTTCAGAAACCTTTTGTACGGAAGAAATTATGTTTAAACTGAGTCTTGAAGACTGAAGAGAATTTCATAAGGGTGATTATGGTAATGAGAACACTTCAATAAAAAATATACAAAACCAAATGCAATTTTCAGAGTCATCTATTAGGTAGGACCCAAATATCAATTAACATATATACATTCAAAAATATTATAGGAAATCATTGTAAATTATGGCTCTAAGCCTAAGAAGCTCCATGAAAAATAGTCATGATATGTTTGATAAATAAAAAAAAGAATGTAAAATTATATATTAATTGATTATGGAAATAAAAACCAAATCCATGGGAAAATAGATTGGAAAGAATCATAAAGTATAGAGTAAGGGACTTACCTTGCTTTTTTTATTTAAAATGTATAATGTAATAATATTTATAAGGTGAAATATATACACAGTAAAAATATTGATGAGTACAGAGGAGCATTGTTATATTCATCTCTTAAAAATCCCTGTTTCTCATTTATTGCAATAGTATAAAACTTAAAAATATTGAGGATATTAAAATCTATTACAAAACAAAAATTTTACAGATGGTGTGGCTTGAAGAAGAAATCATAATAGAAAGTTATGGACTCCATAGTCTAAAACATAATGTGATACATGATAAGTGAAGCAGTACAAAATAATTCAAATGAACACAGGGTACCTGTAAAACAAATAAAACTCATTGAAGCGGTGATTTTATACCCATAACTTAAATCACACTTATGCAATAGTTCCATAAGGAGCAGTGAGATACATGTAAAAATAATCAATTGGAACTTCAGAGATTATAGAAACTAGCATGAACTGGGTAGTATGCGATTGTCTTCCTGCAGGGGTCAAGATGAACTAAGGTTAATGCTATTCTATCAGTGACACATTTCATAGGCTTTAAATATATTCTAGAATCTATGACATATATATGTATATATAATCTATATATTTAATATATAATATATTTACACATTTATTTAATTATATATTTAATTTAATTAAAGCAATAGATAATATAACCCACTTTAATATTTAAATATTAAAGCCTTTAATATTTAAATATTAAATCATTAAATATTAATAAATATAAATAAATATTTATTAGATATAAATAATAAAATAAAATATTATATCAAGAATATATAACAGATGTCTGGAGCTTACTCCTTGAAACATTTCTCAGCAATATCTGGACTATATACTTAATAGAATTCAGTACTCCATGGGAAAGTAGTCCTTTCTTAGCCTTAGAACAACTTGGGCATAAAATTTTACAAACCAATTCACTCTATTTAACTAGGACTTTGGGAAGCTTAAAATGTATGTGGGACTACAGATATAGGACTTATTTATGTGTTTACTATGAAATGATATTAAGTCAGATCTGAGAATTTTGAGACCAATATGTAAAATAGGGTATATTCCAGGAGATGGGGTGGCAGAAAAAGTCATGGAAGGGGGCACATCACAAAGGAGCACAAAGTAAGTTTTGGTCCTGATGAATATGTTCACTATACTGATTGTGGTGATGCTTTCATGGGTATGACCACATGTGGAAAATCATTCAATTGTACACTTTGCATATTTCCAGTTTACTGCATATCAACTATACCCCAAAAAGTAAAAAAAAAACTATAGGGATTAGACATTCATTGGGTGATAAAACTAAGGAAATTAAAGTGATTTCCACAGAAGTCAGGATGCTGGTTACCCTTAGCAGGAGAGAGGAGGTTATGAGTAAGAGAGGCACATTGAGGGCTTCTGAGATTATGGATAAAGTTCTATCTACTAACAAGGTAGTAGCTACTTGGTGTTTTCCTTATTTCAGTTCATTAAGATGTACACTTTTAATGTAGCTTTTGGTATTATTTTGAAAGAAATTTAAACATACAAGGGCGCCTGGGTGGCTCAGTTTGTTGAGTGACTGCCTTCGGCTCAGGTCATGATCCTGGAGTCCTGGGATTGAGTCCCACATCGGGCTCCCTGCTCAGCAGTGAGTCTGCTTCTTCCTCTTACCGTCCCCCCTCTCATTCTCTCTCTCTCTCTCAAATAAATAAAATCTTTTAAAAAAAGAAACTTAAACAAACTATAAGAATTATATATAATTCAGACATTCAATAAAATCAAGAATGTATTTTGGAAGTTTTGACAGGAATTCAATGTAGGGTTTATTTTTCAATTATTTTAGAAACACACCTTGTCCCCACATTTTTCTTATCACAACATTTATACTATTTTTTTCCTCTATGCTTTATTATGTTTGCCATTATTGTAAGGGGTTCCAGTATTGTGAGATATAGTTTGCCTGGTCTAGAGACAAACTTTGTTAAGCTGTCTTATTTGCTTTTCTTCTATCCTGACCTTCAATTTCCTCATAATAATGTCTGTTCTATACTTAACAACATTTTCTATTAAGTTAAATCTTTTAATGCATCACCAAAAGAGTCTGAGTCAAAACAGAATGGTTTTTTGGGGTGACTATTGCTCCTAAGTCTTGTTTTTAATTTTTTTTACTTTTCATTGTTTAAATGAAATGAAAAATCTCAAAAAGATCAGTTTTTATGAACAGTAATTATAAAATATACCTTCTTTCTTTGTAATTTTCAAACTTCCTATAAATTTCCTATGACATTGATAATAATATTTATAGATGTTAATAAGGAAGAACACGGACTATTGTTCAGTTATTAATTGATTGCCAATTATTAACTGAAAGTTGGATCTGTGCTATGATGACAACTCTATAAAATAATGCATGGGATGGAGAAAAGAGTATTTTGAATATTACTGTTTTTGCCCAGAATGGGCAATTAGTGCCCAACACTGAGAAACAAGTGGAGAAAGATGCTCCACAACCTACGATTGGATCCTGGTGTTCCCCTCAGAAGAATATTAATAAGTTGCCCAACATATTATTTAACCCAACAATCAGGCCAGCCAATCCTTGCATAGTTTCTCCAAAAATAATGGAAAGCAGAAGAGAGGAATTGATGGAGTTATAGGGAATATGATCATGAGAGAATCCCTG